GTCCTGTCCCCTTAGCAGAAAAACACCCCCAAAGCAGAATGTTTCCACCACCATGTTTCACAGTTGGGATGGTGTTCTTGGGGTCATAGGCAGCATTCCTCCTCCTCCTCCAAACACGACGAGTTGAGTTGATGCCAAAGAGCTGGATTTTGGTCTCATCTGACCACAACACTTCCCACCAGTCCTCCTCTGCATCATTCCGATGTTCCGTAGCAAACTTCAGACGAGCCTGGACATGTGCTTTCTTGAGCAGAGGGACCTTGCGGGCACTGCAGGATTTCAGTCCTTGTCGGCGTAGTGTGTTACCAATTGTTTTCTTGGTGACTGTGGTCCCAGCTGCCTGGAGATCATTGACAAGATCCTCACGTGTAGTTCTGGGATGATTCCTCACTGTTCTCATGATCATTGACACTCCACGAGGTGAGATCTTGCATGGTGCACCAGACCTAGGGAGACTGACACTTGTTTTGTGTTTCTTCCATTTGTGAATGATTGCACCAACTGTTGTCACCTTCTCACCAAGCTGCTTGGCCATAGTTTGGTAGCCCAGTCCAGCCTCGTGTAGGTCTACAATCTTGTCCCTGACATCCTTGGACAGCTCTTTGGTCTTTGCCATGGTGGAGAGTTTGGAATCTGATGGTTTGATTGCTCCTGTGTGACAGGTGTCTTTTATACAGGTAACACAATGAGATTACAGCACTCCCTTTAAGAGACTGCTTCTAATCTCAGCTTGTTACCTGTATGAAAGACACCTGGTAGCCAGAAATCCTGCTGAATGATAGGGGATCAAATACTTATTTCCCTCATGAACATGCAGATCAGTCATCATTTGTTAGACGCATTTCTGCTGAATTTGTTGTTGCTATTTTGTCTCTCAGTGTTACAATACACCGAACATTCGATTTTTAGACCGATCATGTCTTTGTGAGTGGGCAAACATTAAAAATCAGCAGGGGAGCAAATACACATTTCCTTTACTGTATATAGTGGAGGGTGGAGACAGAAGTCAGGACTATAGAATGTACAACATATTGTATAAGATACAACAGATAGGACTGTATAGTATCATAGTATCAGAAAGATGGGGTCAGGAGTATGTACTGTACAGCATAGGGTATACACATAATATGGATTCTCTTTTGTTACACCCATTTCCTACCAGCTGGAAATTTTTATAACGGATAATTAACAATTTGATTTTTTACACGCTATATGTGGTTAAATACCACTGAATATAAAATTAAAGCAGCCAGCACAGTATCGCAGGTGTCAATACATAAAACTAATAAACAAAAAAGTGCAGCGCTATACATTCAAAAGTACTAATAACCATAAAAAATACATAAAAAATTATAATGTGCAAAAAAATAATAAAAAAATAATAAACAAAAAAAAATGAAAGTTCAAAGAATTCCAGAAAAAATTGTGATTCCAAAAAAATATATATGCAAAATATATAAAAATAATGTTTTTAATTTTTTCATTTTCCGAAAAATTATGACAAAAAGAATACAACTTCAAAAAACTCGCCATGCCTCTTATGAAACATGGACACGTCGGACTGTCTACTCTGCAAAAAGGGGTAATTTGGGGGATATCTGTACCGTCCTGACATTTGGGGGATATCTGTCCTGTCCTGACATTTGGGGGGATATCTGTCCTGTCCTGACATTTGGGGGATATCTGTCCTGTCCTGACATTTGGGGGATATCTGTACTGTTCTGACATTTGGGGGATATCTGTACTATTCTGACATTTGGGGGATATCTGTATTGTCCTGACATTTGGGGGATATCTGTACCGTCCTGACATTTGGGGGATATCTGTCCTGTTCTGACATTTGGGGGATATCTGTCCTGTTCTGACATTTGGGGGATATCTGTTCTGTCCTGACATTTGGGGGATATCTGTACTGTCCTGACATTTGGGGGATATCTGTACCGTCCTGACATTTGGGGGATATCTGTACTGTCCTGACATTTGGGGGATATCTGTACTGTCCTGACATTTGGGGGGTATCTGTACCGTCCTGACATTTGGGGGATATCTGTACTGTTCTGACATTTGGGGGATATCTGTACTGTCCTGACATTTGGGGATATCTGTCCTGTTCTGACATTTGGGGGATATCTGTACTGTTCTGACATTTGGGATATCTGTTCTGTCCTGACATTTGGGGGATATCTGTCCTGTTCTGACATTTGTAGGATATCTGGATATCTGTTCTGTCCTGACATTTGGGGGATATCTGTACTGTCCTGACATTTGTAGGGATATCTGTACCGTCCTGACATTTGGGGGATATCTGTACTGTCCTGACATTTGGGGGATATCTGTACCGTCCTGACATTTGGGGGGGATATCTGTACTGTCCTGACATTTGGGGGATATCTGTACTGTCCTGACATTTGGGGGGTATCTGTACCGTCCTGACATTTGGGGGATATCTGTACTGTCCTGACATTTGGGGGATATCTGTACCGTCCTGACATTTGGGGGATATCTGTACTGTTCTGACATTTGGGGGTATCTGTACTGTCCTGACATTTGGGGGATATCTGTCCTGTTCTGACATTTGGGGGATATCTGTCCTGTTCTGACATTTGTAGGATATCTGTTCTGTCCTGACATTTGGGGGATATCTGTACTGTCCTGACATTTGGGGGATATCTGTACTGTCCTGACATTTGGGGGATATCTGTACTGTCCTGACATTTGGGGGATATCTGTACCGTCCTGACATTTGGGGGGTTCTGTACTGTCCTGACATTTGGGGGATATCTGTACCGTTCTGACATTTGGGGGGATATCTGTACCGTCCTGACATTTGGGGGATATCTGTCCTGTTCTGACATTTGGGGGATATCTGTCCTGTTCCTGACATTTGTAGGATATCTGTTCTGTCCTGACATTTGGGGGGGATATCTGTACCGTCCTGACATTTGGGGGATATCTGTACCGTCCTGACATTTGGGGGATATCTGTACCGTCCTGACATTTGGGGGGGTATCTGTACCGTCCTGACATTTGGGGGGTATCTGTACCGTCCTGACATTTGGGGGATATCTGTACCGTTCTGACATTTGGGGGGTATCTGTACCGTCCTGACATTTGGGGGATATCTGTACCGTCCTGACATTTGGGGGATATCTGTACCGTCCTGACATTTGGGGGATATCTGTACTGTTCTGACATTCTTGGACCTCAAGAAATTAGATTGGCTGTCAGTACTTCAGGATTGATCAATAATCAGATCTATACCATAGTTTGTGAACTCTATAACTTCAGACTACAGACTAAATCATAAATACTAATTTGGGTTATTTTTCACCAAAGACATGTAGCAGAATACATCTCGGCCTAAATTTATGAAGAACAATTATTTATTTGCAATCATCGATGTTCCTTTTCCAATAGATTAATTGTGGATATTTAGAACCATAAAATAACTTCTTCCTCCCATTTGGCCATAAAGAGGTTGGCCATACTTACGGGCCAAATTTTCCACCCATGGCCACCCTTTTTTGGAATCACAATTTTTTCTTGAATTATTTGAACTTTAATTTTACACTAAAGACTTTTTGTTTATTTTTTTTTTTGCACATTAGTGGACATTATACATTTTTATGTATTATTTTTTATGGTTCTTAGTATTTTATATCGGATGATGTGATTGGAGCACAGACTTTTACATGGTGATAATAATGTGATAACATCCTCCAACTTTGGACCCTTAAACAGAAAGTGATAATGAGGGAGTCAATACCCCAATGATGGTGGTCTTCAGGATCAGTCCAGTCTTCATCTTGGTTGTTCTCCCCCCCCATCCTCACTCTCTGACCTCTGGTGGGGCTCAGCCCGCTGTTCTTCATGACTAAATCATGGACTAAATAAGGAAGTGCAGTACTTCTTGTGTTGGGAAGATGGTGATGAGTGATAGAGGGGGTGGGGACCCTCGTCCTATAATCCCCTCATCACTGTCCCTCCTATAAAAGACAGTTCTGGTTGTTTCCTCACTCTCTGACTAAGGTCCATGAATAAAGAAATGACCTGGTAGGAGATCAGAGGAGCCATTTCCTAGTTCCCTTGAGGGTGGAATTGTAAGCTCCTCAGAGACCAAGCTGCCTGATGTGGGCGGAGTCCTGGTTTGGGGGAACCAATCAGCTCCTGTCTAGTAATCCTCTTTGTCTTTGTATTTTAGTCCATGGCCGGGAGATGAGGAAAACCTCCGAGGATTGTCTCACTTTGTCTCCAGACTGGAAAGTAGAAGATGAGGACATCACACAGTATAGTCCAGGAGAAAACCCGGCTCCCTCCAATGTCCATCCGGCACCACCCAGTGTAGATGGACCATCGGATTCCTCGTATCCTGAGGAACCTCAGACTGTGCGGGACCGGGCCGGCCTTCCAACAGGAAAGAGCTTCTCCTGTACTGAGTGCGGGAAATGGTTTTCGTTCTAAATACAATCTTAATGTGCATAAAAGATCTCACACGGGGGAGAAGCCGTATTCCTGTCCTAAGTGCGGGAAATGTTTCAGTTCTAAATATAAGTCCTTAAAGTTCATAAAAGATCTCACACAGGGAAAAGCCATATTCCTGTCCTAAGTGCGGGAAATGTTTTTCAATAAAATCAAATCTTGTTGCACATCAAAGGCTTCACACGGGGGAAAAACCATACTCCTGTTCTGAGTGCGGGAAATGTTTTTCAGACAAGTCCTTTTTTCACAGACATCAAAGATCATCTCACATGGAGGAGAAGCCAAGCCACATTCCCTGTCCTGAGTGTGGGAAATGTTTTGTACAGTTCCTGTCCTGAGTGTGGGAAATGTTTTTCAGGACAAAAAAAAATCAAACTTGTCACACATCAGAGATCTCACACGGGAGAAAAGCCGTATTTGTGTCTTGAGTGCGGGAAATGTTTTTCAAGAAAGTGCTATCTTTACATACATCAGAGATCTCACACAGGGGAGAAGCCTTATTCCTGTCCTGAGTGTGGGAAATGTTTTTCACAGAAATCCAGTTTTTCACATACATCAGAGATCTCACACAGAGGAGAAGCCGTATTCCTGTCCTGAGTGCGGGAAATGTTTTTCAGTGAAGTGCAGTCTTTACAAGCATCAGAGATCTCACACGGGGGAGAAGCCATATTCTTGTCCTGAGTGTGGGAAATGTTTTTCACAGAAGTCCAATCTTTCACAAACATCAGAGATCTCACACAAGGGAGAAGCCATTTCCTGTCCTGAGTGCGGGAAATGTTTTTTCAGTGAAGTCCCATCTTTATACACACCAGAGATCCCACACAGGGAGCAGCCATATTCCTGTTCTGAGTGCGGGAAATGTTTTGTATACAAATCAGAACTTGTTATACATCAGAGATCTCACACACAGGGGAGAAGCCGTATTGCTGTCCTGAGTGCGGGAAATGTTTTTCACAGAAGTCCCATCTTTCCAGACATCAGAGATCTCACACGAGGGAGAAGCCACTTTCCTGTCCTGAGTGAGGGAAATGTTCCTCACTGAAGTCCTGTCTTCCTGTACATCAGGGGTCCCACACAACCCTGGAGGTGTATTAGTGCCTTGAGTGCGGGAAATGTCTCTAGATGAATGTTGCTGGACATCCCAGCTCTCATGTGGGGAAGAAGCACACCCTGATATACACCTCAGATATACTCCATGGCTGATCTTCATCATGGAAGAAACAGTTGATAAGGAGATCAGAGGTCCCCAAAGACATGGATGAAGTGTGGGACCGGGTTGGCCATTGATAGCAGGAGAAGAAAAAAATGGAGTCATTACTTTCCATCCATTTTGTAAGGTTTTGTAAATATTTAGAGGTCTATTAGGGGCCCCTCCTCCAACTTCTCTGTCCAAAGCAATGGCACAACCATCAACCCATGTCAGGGTGTGAGGGGTCATCCTGGACTCTGAACTCTCCTTTCAGCCCCACATCCAATCCCTGTCCAAATCATGCTGCCTCAACCTCCGCAACATCTCCGGAATATGCCCCTTCCTGACCAATCACACCACAAAGCTTCCGACTCACTCTTCCACTATGGCAACCCCCTCTTCATTGGATGACCTTTACATAGGCCATCCCCCCTCCAGTCCATCATGAATGCTGCCAGACTCCTCCACCTTACCAACCATTCAGTGTCCTCCATCCCTCTCTGCCATTCCTTCCACTGGCCTCCATTTAGTGTCCACCACCACTCTCTTCCAATCCCTCCACTGGCCTTCATTCAGTGTCCTCCATCCCTCTCTGCCATTCCTTCCACTGGCCTCCATTTAGTGTCCTCCACCACTCTCTTCCAATCCCTCCACTGGCCTTCATTCAGTGTCCTCCACCCCTCTCTGCCAATCCCTCCACTCACCTGCATTTTGTGTCCTCCACCCCTCTCTACTAATCCTAGTAGACACCATTCAGTGTCCTCCACCCCTCTCTTCCAATCCCTCCACTGGCCTCCGTTCAGTGTCCTCCACCCCTCTCTTCCAATCCCTCCACTGGCCTCCATTCCATGTCCTCCACCCCTCTCCTCCAGCCAATCCCTCCACTGGCCTCCATTCAGTGTCCTCCACCTCTCTCTGTCAATCCCTCCACTGGCCTCCCATTCAGTGTCCTCCACCCCTGTCTGCCAATCCCTGCACTCATCTCCACTCAGTGTCCTCCACCCCTCTCTACCAATCCCTCCGGTGGCTGCCACTCACCAAATAAATTAAATTGAAAATACTAACAACTTACAAATCCATCCACAACTCTTCCCCGGCTACATCACCAACCGAGTCTCAAAATACCAACCAAATAGCGCTTTTCATTCCTCCCAAGGACTCCTGCTCTCTAGTTCTTTTGTCACCTCCTCCCATGCTTGCCTTCAGGACTTCTCCTGAGCTTCTCCCATCCAATGGAATTCCCTACCCCAATCTGACTATCTCCTACTTTGTCCACTTTTAGATCCCATGAAAACTCTTCTCTTCAGAAAAACCTATCCTGCCCCCACCTAACAAAAAGTAGATGTATCTTCTGCATCAGCCCATCCTCCACACTTGCTACCTTTTCTATCACTTGACCCTCCCCTTTTAGATTGTAAGCTCTAAGGAGCAGGTCCGTCTGATTCCTCCTGTATTGTATTGTAACTGTACTGTCTGCCCTCATGTAGTAAAGTGCTGTGCTAACTGCTGGTGCTATATAAATCCTGTATAATAATCATTAAAATGGATAAATGAATGTTGCTCACATTCCCCCGGACGTGATAAATTTCAGAAGATATTTAGAAGAAGAGGTGAAGTTCCAGGGGCCCGAGGGCCTAGGAATACACAGGGGTGCAGTGAATACAATCATCAGGAACATCGATTTGTAGAAACAATACTCAGCAGAATAAAGACCGGTCAAATCTGCTGATATTCAGAGACTGTGATAGGCTGAGAGTCTGGTCTCTATCACCGACATCTCAGAGCTTGGTGGAGGAAAGAACACCCAGGAATCATTGTAGAAAATTGTGTGCTGAGCTGTAGTCTTGGAGGAAAAGACAGGGGAGACAGAGCAGAATTCTCTGGATGGATGAGGACAGTGGGGGGTGATCTTCATCCTTCATCCCAATTCTCCTCTGTGGAGGGATGAGGACAGTGGGGGGTGATCTCCATCCTTCTTCCAAATTCTCCTCTGTGGATGGATGAGGACAGTGGGGGGCGATCTTCATCCTTCATCCCAATTCTCCTCTGTGGAGGGATGAGGACAGTGAGGGGCGATCTCCATCCTTCTTCCCAATTCTCCTCTGTGGAGGGATGAGGACAGTGGGGGGTGATCTTCATCCTTCATCCCAATTCTCCTCTGTGGAGGGATGAGGACAGTGGGGGGTGATCTCCATCCTTCTTCCAAATTCTCCTCTGTGGACGGATGAGGAGAGTGGGGGGCGATCTCCATCCTTCATCCTAATTCTCCTCTGTGGAGGGATGAGGACAGTGGGGGCAATCTCCATCCTTCATCCTAATTCTCCTCTGTGGAGGGATGAGGACAGTGGGGGGTGATCTCCATCCTTCTTCCAAATTCTCCTCTGTGGATGGATGAGGACAGTGGGGGGTGATCTTCATCCCAATTCTCCTCTGTGGAGGGATGAGGACAGTGGGGGGTGATCTCCATCCTTCTTCCAAATTCTCCTCTGTGGATGGATGAGGACAGTGGGGGGTGATCTTCATCCTTCATCCCAATTCTCCTCTGTGGAGGGATGAGGACAGTGAGGGGCGATCTCCATCCTTCTTCCCAATTCTCCTCTGTGGACGGATGAGGAGAGTGGGGGGCGATCTCCATCCTTCATCCTAATTCTCCTCTGTGGACGGATGAGGACAGTGGGGGCAATCTCCATCCTTCATCCTAATTCTCCTCTGTGGAGGGATGAGGACAGTGGGGGGTGATCTTCATTCATTTCATCCTAATTCTCCTCTGTGGAGGTATGAGGACAGTGGGGGGTGATCTCCATCCTTCTTCCAAATTCTCCTCTGTGGATGGATGAGGACAGTGAGGGGCGATCTCCATCCTTCTTCCCAATTCTCCTCTGTGGAGGGATGAGGACAGTGGGGGGTGATCTTCATCCTTCATCCCAATCTCCTCTGTGGAGGGATGAGGACAGTGGGGGGTGATCTCCATCCTTCTTCCAAATTCTCCTCTGTGGACGGATGAGGAGAGTGGGGGGCGATCTCCATCCTTCATCCTAATTCTCCTCTGTGGACGGATGAGGACAGTGGGGGCAATCTCCATCCTTCATCCTAATTCTCATCTGTGGAGTGATGAGGACAGTGGGGGGGCGATCTCCATCCTTCATCCTAATTCTCCTCTGTGGATAGATAAGGACAGTGGGGGGTGATCTCCATTCTTCATCCCAATTCTCCTCTGTGGAGGAATGAGGACAGTGGGGGGTGATCTCCATCCTTCATCCCAATTCTCCTCTGTGGAGGGATGAGGACAGTTGGGGGGGGGTGATCTCCATCCTTCATCCTAATTCTCCTCTGTGGAGGGATGAGGACAGTGGGGCGATCTCCATCTTTCATCCTAATTCTCCTCTGTGGGGGGATAAGGACAGTGGGGGTGATCTCCATCTTTCATCCTAATTCTCTTCTGTGGATAGATGAGGACAGTGGGGGGCAATTTCCATCCTTCATCCCAATTCTCCTCTGTGGATGGATGAGGACAGTGGGGGCGATTTCCATCATTCATCCCAATTCTCCTCTGTGAACGGATAAGGACAGTGGGGGGCGATCTCCATCCTTCTTCCCAATTCTCCTCAGTGGAGGGGATGAGGACAGTGAGGGGCGATCTCCATCCTTCATCCCAATTCTTCTCTGTGGATGGATGAGGACAGTCGGGGGTGAAATCCATCCTTCATCCTAATTCTCTTCTGTGGAGGGATGAGGACAGTGGGGGGTGAAATCCATCCTTCATCCTAATTCCCCTCTGTGTATAGATAAGGACAGTGGGGGGTGATCTCCATCCTTCATCCTAATTCTGCTCTGATGATGGATGAGGACAGTGGGGGGCTATTTCCATCCTTCATCCCAATTCTCCTAAGTGGATGGATGAGGACAGTGGGGGGCGATCTCCATCCTTCATCCCAATTCTTCTCTGTGGAGGGATGAGGACAGTGGGAGGTGCTCTCCATCATTCATCCCAATTCTCCTCTGTGGAGGGATGAGGACAGTGGGGGGTGAAATCCATCCTTCATCCTAATTCTCCTCTGTGGATAGATAAGGACAGTGGGGGTGATCTCCATCCTTCATCCTAATTCTGCTCTGTGGATAGATAAGGACAGTGGGGGTGATCTCCATCCTTCATCCTATTCTGCTCTGTGGATGGATGAGGACAGTGGGGGGCAATCTCCATCCTTAATCCCAATTCTCCTTTGTGGATGGAGGAGAAACAGTGGGGGGCGATCTCCATCCTTCATCCCAATTCTTCTCTGTGGATGGATGAGGACAGGGGGGGCGATCTCCATCCTTCATCCCCTTCTCCTCTGTGGATGGATGAGGACACACCGAAATTTCTTCTTGGATCTGAAGAAGCTCCAACCACCAGTCTCTGTATCCCTTTACAGAGGTCTACGAAATACAAGTCCCACCCATAGAACAATATTGGAGATAACAGCAGTACTGTCCTCACCAATCACAGCCCAGATATTTCCCAGTACAGGTCAGGAGGGGTTATAGTACAATAAGGGGCCCATAGACATGACAGAGACCCTCATAGATACGAATTTCTCATCTGATCTATCAGGAAATAACCAGATTGGAGGACAGTCTCATGTCTGGGGGGTACCACACACAGTGGGGGCTCCTCAGGGGATATTGTGATTGGACAGGGCAGAATACCCTATAGGTCCTCTCATAAACCAACAAGGTGTTTGCCTAAGGCGGCAGTTTACAGGGGGCGGCACGCCCCCCCAGGCAGAAGGAACACTGTGTGTGCAGGGCCAAGGGATCGACTGCAGAGGAGAGTGGAGTTGTGGGCGGATCCCCGGTGTGCGCTCAGAGGGTGTGAGGGCCGGGGCCCACTGTCAGTGTGCTGGGATGTGCAGGATGGCCAGAAGGTGCCACAGAGGAGGAAGAAGAGGACAAGGTCAGGATGGAGGAGCCCCCCCCCCGCTCTTTTGCAGCCACCACCAGAGATCCTGGGGAAGATGGAACACAGGCGCCCCTCCTTGAGTGATGCTGACACCATCTGGAGGAGCCCCTGCTGGACAGGTAAGTGCTTGGAGGACTGGTGCTTCCCCACTCCTGTCTCACTGTCCCCCCGACACACTGCCCCCCACCTGTTCTACTTCCCCACTCCTGTCTCACTGTCCCCGACACACTGCCCCCACCTGTCACCCTGCCCCCACACCTGTTCCACTCCCCCCTCCTGTCCCTAACATTGTCCCACTACCCCCCATCTCTCCCCACTACCCCCCACCTGTCCCTCTGCACTCTTCCTGTCCCACTGCCCTTATCCTGTCCCATGCCCCCTGTCACGCTGCCCCCCCACCTGTCCCTCTGCGCTCCTCCTGTCCCACTACCCCTCACCTCTCCCTCTGCGTTACTCTTGTCCCACTGCCCCTATCCTGTCCCCATGCCCCCCATCATGCTGCCCCCCACCTGTCCCTCTGTGCTCCTCCTGTCCCACTGCCTTAATCCTGTCCTATGCCCCCCATCTGTCCATCTACGCTCCTGTCCCATATCCCCCATCACGCTATCCCCCACCTGTCCCTCTGTGCTCCTCCTGTCCTGCTGCCTCAGTCTTGTCCCATGCCCCCGTCACACTGCTCCCACCTTTCCCTCTGTGCTCCTCCTCTCCCACTGCCCCCACCTATCCCTCTGCACTCCTCCTGTCCCACTGCCCCTTACCTGTTCCTCTGCGCTCCTTCTCTCTCACTGCCCCCACCTATCCCTCTGCACTCCTCCTGTCCCACTGCCCCTTACCTGTTCCTCTGCGCTCCTCCTCTCTCACTGCCCCCACCTATCCCTCTGCACTCCTCCTCTGTCCCACTGCCTTGATCTTGTCCCATATCCCCATCACACTTTCCCTGACCTGTCCCTCTGTGCTCCTCCTGTCCCACTGCCCATCACCTGTCCCTTTGTGCTCCTCCTGTCCCGCTGCCTCAGTCCTGTC